CTTTAATCCCAGGCCCCCAATAATTCCTATAGCTACAATTCCAAGAACCATGAGTATACAAAGTTACCAAACACACAAAGAAACAAAGTACCACAAACTGTTCAAGCCTGCAAAGATTATTGACATGGGAATTTTCAGTAATAGTATACAAAAGGAAGATGTTTAATATGTTTTTAAAAACATAAAGGGAGATTTAAAACATAGGGAAAAAGAGATTATAAAAATTGACCAGGTAGAGGCACCTGGGGGGCTCAGTCCATTGGGCGGCCAACTCTTGGTTTCAGCTCAGGTCATGATCTCATGGGTCATGGAATCCAGGCCCAAGTTGGGCTCCCTGCTCAGAAGGGAGTCGGCTTGAGGATTCTAAATCCCTCTACCCGCCTCCCACTCATACTTGCACCTTCTGTTTCTGTCAAATACAGTTTAAAAAATTGACTAGGTAGATCGGCAAAGAAAATAATTATAAAATACAGTAATAAAACTATAATAATTGTAATATAAAGTTATTGGGTGGAATAAACAAAATATTTAACCATAGTTGAAGGGAAAATTAGTAAACTGGAAAATATATCTAAAAAAGATAAATCAGGAGCACCTGGGTGACTCAGTTGGTTAAGCATCCAATTCTTGGTTGTAATTCTCATCATGATCCCAGGGTGATGAGATCAAGCCCTTCATTTGGCTCTGCACTCAGCACCAGAGTCTGCTTGAGATTCTTTCCCCCTCCTGCTTCCTCCTCCTCCACTCCTCTCTCTTCCCCACCCATGCTCACACTTATGTTTTCTAAAAAAAGTAAAATCTTAAATAAAATAAAATAATACAAAAATAAAAACGAACCAAAATGCAGCTTTAACACAAGAAGGAAAATATGGGAGAAAGATCAAGAGGCATGAAGGATAAATGAGAAGGTCTAACCTTTGTCTAACTGTAATTCCATAAAGAGAGAAGAAAGATAATAGAGAGAGGCTGTGTTTAAAAGGAAATACCTGGGTAGCTTAGTTGGTTGTGTGTACTTTCAGCTCATGTCATGAGTCCTGGGATAGAGCCCCCCTGCTTAGCGGGGAGTCTGCTTCTCCCCCCACCCCTCCTCCTCCATTCATACTTTCTTGCTCTAAGGAGAAATACAGAAGAAGCTTATCAGTGTTGATCTTGGCAATGATTTTTTGGACATGACGCCAAATGCAAAACTCAAAAGTTAAAATCAACAAACAGAACTACGTCAAACTCAAAAGCTTCTGCACAGCAAAAGAAACAATGAACAAAGTGACAGCCTACAGAATGGGAGAAAAAGTTTGCAAACCGTATATCAGATAAAGGATTAATATCCAAAATGAAGAATTAACACAATCTAACAACAAAAACAATCTGATTGAAGAGGGCAGAAGAACTAAATAGACCTTCCAGAGAGGACCATCAAAATGACCAATAGGCACATGAAAAGATGATCAACGTCACTAATAATTAGTGAAATGCAAATAAAAACCACGGTGAGGTATCACTTTACACCTGTTAAAATGGCTATCATTAAGAGACAACAGGTGCTGGTAAGGCTGGTGAAAATGGAACCGTATACACTGTTGGTGGAAATGTAAATTAGTCCAACCACTATGAAAACAATATGGACTTTACTCAAAAAATTAAAAATGGGTCTACTGTATGATCCAGCAATTCTATCTCTGGGTATATACGCAAAGGAAATGAAAACAGGTTTTCAACAGGACACGTGCACACCCATGCTTATCTCAACATTATTTACAATAGCCAAAATAATATGGAAACACCCAAACACCCATCAATGGATGAGTGGATAAAAACGGATATAGATAAAGATATAGAGAAAGCATATATACACACATATATATACACATACAAGTATACATATACATGTGTGTGTGTGTATATTATTCAGCCATGAGAAAAAGGATCTCTTGCCATTTGGGACAACATGGATAGACCTTGAGCACATTATACTCATTGAGATAAGTCAGACAAAGAATGACAAATATTGTAAGATACTACTTATATGTGCAATCTAAAACAGTCAAACCTATGAAAAAACACAAAGTAAAATGGTGATTATTGGGAGAAGGGGGATGGAAAGGATAAGATTAATGGTGTTTAAGGGTATAAACCTGTAACAAGTAGTAAATAAGCCATAGAGGTCTGATGCACAGTACGATGGATATAGATAATATTGTACTGTAATAGCGTGATGTGATAAACATTGCTTCTATGGCATTCATATTACAATATATAAAGGTATCAAAGTAACACACCCTATACCTTTAATTTACAAAATGTAGCATGTCAAATCTATCAAATAAATAAATAAATAAATAAAATAAATAAATAAATAAACAAAGATAAATAAATAATAAAAATACAGGAGACACAGAGCCTCAGATTCAGGAAACCCAAGGAATTTCCACCGGAATAAACACAAAGAGGGACGCCTGGGTGGCTCAGCCATTGAGTGTCTGTCTTTGGCTCAGGGCATGACCCTGGAGTCCCAGGATCGAGTTCCACATCGGGCTCCCTGTATGGAGCCTGCTTTTCCCTCTGCCTATGTCTGTCTCTCTCATGAATAAATAAATAAATAAAATCTTTTTTAAAAAAACAAAAACACATCTGGATTAACAGTAGTGAAACTGCAGGAAAGGAATGACAAGGATAACATCATAAAGGGAACAAGGGAGAAAAGGCAGATTCCCTACAAAGCACTGTTTAACATCTGATCTCTCATAGCAAAAATGAAAGCCAGAAGATGAAGGAATAATCTCCAATGGAATAAAAGACAATACCTGCCAGCCTATAATTCCTTCACCAGCAAGATGATCCCTCAAAAATGGTGAAATAAAGATATTTTATTTCTTTATTTATTCATGAGAGATACACAGAGAGAGAAGCAGGCTCTATGCAGGAAGCCCGATGTGGGACTCGATCCCGGGACACCAGGATCACACCCTGAGCAGAAGGCAGGCACTAAACCGCTGAGCCATCCAGGGATCCCTTAAAGATATTTTCAAGCCAATAAAACTGAGGTTTATTATCATTAGATTCCATATGAGTTTTCTATTGCTTCATAACCAATTACTACACTCCATGCTTGAAAGAACCCATGTATTGTCTTACAGTTTCTGTGCATCAGGAGTCTGGGTACAGATTAGCTGGGTCATTTGCTCGGGGTGTCACCAGAGCTGCAGTCTCATCTGGGCTCCAGGTCCTCTCCCAGACTTACCAGGTATTAGAAGAAACCCGTTCCCTATGGCTGGAGAACTGAAGCTCCAGCTCCTGGAGGCCAGGTGGTCCTCCTCACAGTGTGGCAGTTTATTTCCTCATGGTGAACAGGAGGATATTTCTGACTCTGGGAAAACCTGAACACTTTTTATTTTTTAAAGATTGTATTTATTTATTCATGAGAGACACACAGAGAGAGGCGGAGACATAGGCAAAGGGAGAAGCGGTCTCCCCACAGGGAGCCCAATGTGGGACTCGATCCCAGGACCCCAGGATCATGACCTGAGCCCCTGAGCCGAAGGCTGACGCTCAACTGCTGAACCACCAAGGTGTCCCGAACTAAACACTTTTAAAGGGCTCACCTGATTAGGTCAAGTCCACCCCAAATAATCTCCTCTTTGATGAATTTAAAGTCAGATGATTACAGAATTTAATTACATCAGCAAATCCCATTTGTCAGTAGGTAAGGTAATCACAGGAGTGAAATTCCATCACATGAGTTCTGCTCACACTCGAGGGGAGGAGATAATAGAGAATGTGTACACAGAGGGTAGAAATATTGGGAACTATTTTAGTAAAATTCTGTGTACCTTAAATGCTCATTACAGGAATTTAAAAGGATGTACTTCAGCAAAAGGAAAATAATCCCAGGTGGAAGATGTGAGACGCAAGAAAGAAGAGCAAGCAAAAAAAAATGTTAAACATAGGGGTAAATCTACACAAATATGAACTATTGAAAATAATAACAATATATTTGTACAATTAACAAAACAGCAATATCATCAAAATACCAGGTTACAGAAGCATATAAATTCAAAGAGAATAATAAATGTTGAAGAATTCTAATGTCTATGTATTGTTTGAAAGTATAAAGATATTGATTAAAGAGACCTGGGTGTCTCAGTGGGTTAAGCGGCCCGACTCTTGGTTTCAGCTCAGGTCATGGTCTCAGGGTTGTGAGTGGAGCCTCTGAGCCTCTCCTGGGCTCTGCACCCAGTGAGGAGTCACCTTGAGATTCTGCCTCTGTCCCTCCACCCCACATCTGGCTGCAAGCTCTCTCTCTAAAATAAACCAAATCTTTAAAAAAAGAGGGAGAGAGAGAGAGAGAGAGAGAGAGAGAGAGAGAGACTGTTAAGTCAAATATGCAGGTAGAAATTTTTTTACTAAAAAATAGATATATTTTTTAGATAACACTAGAGAAACAGAAATAGATTATATACTTTCAAAATAAGAGAGAGAGTTTAAAATGGAAAAAAATCCTTCCACTACACTCTAAGAGGCTCCCAACCAGCCTTCTTTCCCTCACCCACTCAGGGTCAGACTAGGATCACAGTCTAGTGGCCCTCTCAGCTTCTTCCAGATTCCTCCCCGTTTTCTCTCGCAGCCATTTCCCCTAACAAGTTTCTTGAACATTCAATCCCAACTTCACATTTCCTTCTCAGATTATGCCCCTGGACGAACACAAATCCCCAATGCATTTTGTAAATTGAATAAATCCATGACAGTGGAATGGGACAATGGCAATATGGGTAAAGAAAAGCACAGGCCAGGGGCGCCTGGCTCACCCAGTCAGAAGAGGGTGGGACTCTTCATCTTGGGGAGATGAGTTGGAGCCCTGCACAGGGTGTACAGATGGCTTAAATAAAAACAAAACTTATAAAAAAAGGACAGACCAATCTCATTTATGAACACAGTACAAAGTGCTAAACAAAAACATGAGTATGCTCAATTTAGCAATGTCTACACAATAATGTGACCAAAAATGCAAGGTGGTTTGTTGGGTTTATTTCAGAAATGCAAGGTACTAGAAAATCTATAAAGGTCTTCTAGAAAAAGAAATAAAAGAATAGTGGAAAAGGAAGAATTAAAACTGTTATTTTTCTTAGTGTGATTTTTCTATGTAGAAAAACCAAAAGTACCTACAGATAATTCATTAAAATTAGATAACTTATAATAGTCATTTAATAAACAATCAGCACACGAAGGTTAAAGCACCACTTATAATAGCATCAAAATGAAGGTACCTGAATTAAATATAGTAAAACTAGTATAAGATATTTACAGATAAAATCATAAAAATTCTGCAAAGATATTAAAAAGAGTTAGATAGGAGCAACCTTGTTTGAGGTTAGGAAAACTCAATATCATAAAAATGTCAATCCTCACAAGTAGATGTCATGGAACCAGAGAAGGGTTCATGTGTGTGTGAAATTTGAAAAGCTGATCCCAACATATATATAGATGAACAAAGACCTTGGGAGAAAAACGATGGGCTCCCAGAACTGGAATTCACTGATCTTATTGCTTGGCTCATCCCCCAGGAGCAGCTGATTTGATGGGAAGGTGGAATGATCATCTGCAGGCTCAAGCACAGTATCAGTTGGGAGACCACACCCTGTGAGGTCTGAATGCTATCCTATGTGATGTGGTATATGCTTTAATCAAGAGAGCACTCTGTGGTGCTGTCTCGCCCCAAACCAGGAAGCACACATGCAGAAACCAACAGGTACAGGTGGAGGTCTCCCTTCTTACTGGTACCCCTAATTCCCACTGGAAGGAATTTTCTCCCTGTCATCACAGCGTGGAACTCTGTAGGTTTGGAGATCCTAGTAGCCAAGGGATAAAGAGTTCCATCAGAGAACTGGCAGTAAAGTAGGAGCTAAAACTATCCTCCGGAAAATCTGAGCTCTCATGCCAGTGAACCAACAGGAAGAGGAAGTGTTTGTTATACCAGACAAGATGATTGATGCTTGAAGCTAGTAAACAAAAGGCATGATCAGAGAAAGGGCTGGGAATCAGAGAGGATGGTAAATTAGGGTAGGGGTCACAGAGGATCAGTCCATCTTGTCTAGGTTCGTTAGCTGGACTGAGGCATTCCAGAGGCTTTGGGCCACTTGAGGATCCTGAGCAGCTTCAGTGGGGAGAGTTATCATACAGGAACTGCTAAAATATTTTCCAGAAACACCATCCAGCTCCTTTGCCAAGCTCAGGTAGAGGACTGGGATTGCACCTTGTTTGACATCCTGTAGAGGGGAAGAGAGAGTCACGCCCAGCTGACTTTACCCTGCTGGGGACACCCAGAAGCATCACCCTGCCACACTTGCTCCTCCTCTACCCACCTTACAGAAGAAGCTGAAGAGCCAGAAAAGGAAGCGGTACAACCAAGGGTAAGGCTTCATGATCTTTGTGTATACCACACCTGGGTCAACAGAGTTCACAGTCACACCTGAAAGGATGAGACACAAGTATAGTGCAAAGTGAAATAAGAGGAGGATATTGGTAAAAAGGGGCTTAGTGGGGGTTCTCCAGTGTGCAATGATGGGAGGATCCTACCAGGTCTGTTGGGCAACCAGACACTTGGGGGTGGTGCCAGGAAAGTCAGTCCCTTGGAACTTACATAAATTGGTATTCAAACCAGTACGGAGACATAAGCATTTGAGAATGCTGGGTGAACTTTAGGAGGAACACAATGGATGGTGTTGGTATTGGAGACTACTGAGAGGAGAGGAATGTTGTGAATGACAAGAGAGTTGGAAAGATTAAAAAGGAGATGTGAAGAGAGTTGGAAAGATTAAAAAGGAGATGTGAGGGAGATATCAGCTTCACAGATGATAAGTGGAGGGAATTAACAGTTGGCTTGGGGGACACTGGGAGTGTTTAGGCCAGGACATGTTGGGATGAGATGTGAAGGGCAGCGGTACTGGGAATGAAGGAGTAGGGGGTGTCAGAGGCAATTACCTGTCCCTTGAAGTCTCCGGGCAAGCTCCCCAGTGAAGGAGGTCAAGAGCAGTTTGCTGCAGTCATAGCTCTGGGTTAAGGTCAAAGGTTTGCCAGCCCCTGTCAGATGTTTCTCATCAACATACCCATGTGCATGCCGAAAGGAAGACACATTCACTACCCGAGCTGACCCTGCCTGTTGTAGGGCCCCTGGGTGGAAAGAGAACCACAATCCTTCAATCCAAGCTCTAGAGTGAATACCCATGCCCACTCCCCAGCGTGCCTCTCCAGGAGACTCCAAGAGAGCAGAGACCATCCAGGGCTTTCAGGATAGGGTCAGTGGGCCCCCCCACCCATGTTCTCTGGGCTAGGCACAAGACAGCTTCATGTGAACAGAGACTTCAACAGAGACTTAGCTACTTTCCTAACATTTTTCCTCTTCTTTTATGGTAGTGTGTGGATTTTTGCCTTGTTCTTCTTCCACTTGTCAGGTGGAGCTACTTTAATTGATCCCTGTTTATGTTTTTTTTTTTAAGATTTTATTTATTTATTCATGATAGTCACACAGAGAGAGACAAAGAGGCAGAGACACAGGCAGAGGGAGAAGCAGGCTCCATGTAGGGAACCCAACGTGGGATTCGATCCCGGGTCTCCAGGATCGCGCCCCGGGCCAAAGGCAGGCGCCAAACCGCTGCGCCACCCAGGGATCCCATCCCTGTTTATGTTTTACCTCACTGGCGGCTAAAAGAGAAAAGCAGAGGTTGGAGACACTGTGAAAGTTGTCTTTTGTGTATTTGTCACACAAATGTTCATTAGATCTCTGGACTATGGCAGACCCCAAGACAGATGCTAAGGACATAAGGGTGCTAGATTGAGGGGAGAAAGAAATGTGTGTAGAGATACTTGAAAAAGTGTTTTTATTTTTTTTTTTTAATCCAGCTATCCAGCACCTGGGTGTTTCAGTTTGTTAAGGGTCTCCCTTCGACTCAGGTCACATGATCCCAGGGTCCTAGGAATGAGTCCTGAATATCTCGTATAGCATCAGGCTCCCTGCTCAGTGGGGAGTCTGCTTCTCCCTCTACCCATCCTGCCTGCTCATGCTCTCTCTTACTCTCTTGTTCTCCCTCTCTCTCAAATAAATAAAATGTTAAATCAGCTATCTTCCAAAGTAACAAAAAATTACAATCAATAGTACACTTAACGTCTTAAAAAAAGAAGTATCCTACTATATATAGTTTAAAAAGTCTGAATTATATAAAATATGAAAAATAGTGATTGTCATGAGTTTACAGTGTTCAAAACGCCAAAACTATTTTGAGCCCTACATTTAAATTAAGAATCACAAATGAGGGACGCCTGGGTGGCTCAGCGGTTGAGAGCATCTGCCTGGGGCTCAGGGTGTAATCCCAGGGTCCGGGAACCAGTCCCGAATAGAGCTCCCCACAGGGAACCTGCTTCTCCCTCTACCTATATCTCTGCCTATGTCTCTGCCTCTCATGAATAATAAATAAAACCTTTAAAAATCACAAATGAAAAATTGAACAGGTGGTATTTAGCCAAAGTGTGCTGGGAAGAAAATTATTTTTAAAGAGAACAGACCCCAGACTTGCAGGCAGAGTGACATAAATAAAGCTCAAAGGGGCTCACAGCCTAGTTGAAGCCCGAACCTCATAGAACAATGTCAATGTGGGAGCAGGAATGTGTACAAGTGCTAAGGGAGCCCTGGAAATGGGAGGCTGCTTGGGGAGGCCGCTTGGGGAGGCCAAGGGCAGGACCCACAGCACAGGTGATATCTGTGCTGAGTCTTGGCAGATGAACTAAAGTCAGCCAGTCACTAAATGAGTGGGAAAGAATAGCCCATATAGAGGCAAGCATGTGTGCAAAAGCACAGCCAGAGGGGGAAAAAGCATGGTCCAAAGTCTTATCATGGCCACACATAGTCTCCTGGAAAGGAGCCTGTGGATTTAGCAAGGGCAAAAGGTGAGGCTCTCAGTCTGCAGGGAGTCTATAAATGGAGAAAAGGGGCTTAGAGTCTCTCCTCTAAAGGATAGAGTACCTTCCAAGGATGTAAAGCAAGTGATATGGTGAAATGTGGTTTCTAGAAGTGGCAGGAGGAAGAATAGATTAGAGAAGGGGAGGAGAGAAGACAGTTTAAGAAAATATGACTAGGCAAGGTGCAGACAGGGCATTACAATTTGAGGAAGGGGGAAGAAACATTACTACTTGCAGAGTTTTGCCTCACTCTGGTCACCCTCCAGTTGGACTAATTTAATCAGCAGCTAAAGAGCACATGAGATGGGACACCTGGGTGGCTCAACAGTTGAGCATTTGCCTTTGGCTCAGGGCATGATCCCAGATCTGGGGATTGAGTCCCACATCCAGCTCCCTGTGAGGAGACCGCTTCTCCCTCTATGTTTCTGCCTCTCTCTGTGTCTCTCATGAATTAAATAAATAAAATCGTTAAAAATAAATAAATAAAATAAAGAACACATGAGATCCCAGCAACACGAATTGTCTCCCGAGAGGAGAATGAGTAGCTGATTTTCAAGAAGAGGAGACTTTTTTTAAATATAATCCCTTTTGTACAGTTCCAGTTTTGTGTTTTGGACACATATTACCTAACCCAAACAATTGATTTTATTTTAAAGAGTCTATTACACAATCCAGGAGAACATGTTAGGAAAACAGTGCCTGCCGCTCACTCTGCCTCTCCAGCCTCCCCAGGAAGAACCCAGACTTCCTTAATCAGAAAAGATTTAAAAATCAGAAAGTCAAAGGACTCCGGCCTAAGACAGAGAGAAGTGTTCTGTCTAGGTTCCTAGTGGATCTTAAGCTATTTGAGAACAGGAAGTAGGCCTTCTTGGTGTCTGTGTTCCTAGTGGTCTGGTGCCACCCTTAAGCTTTCGTTGTGATGACTGACTCTTCTGGTCTAGCTAGAACTCAGAGCTGGGGGGAGGAGAGGTGTGATCATAAATCTCCCTGCTGATTATATTTTGGACTGGTTTCATTTCCAGCCTCCTAATCCTGATTTGTGTCAGGTGGGTTTCCCTGCTGTGTGTGTGGGAGGGGGAGCATACTGGGTTATCACTCAGTGAAAAGCTGGGGTCAAGAGAAAGGAAGTGGCCATGGAGACAGCCACGAAAAATGCCAGGGAATGGAGAAGCAAAGAGTGGCACAGAAGGGAAGCACCCGTTCTCCCTTACCTTGGAGTAGATTTGTAAGCAGAAAGGGCCCAACATAGTTGGTGGCAAAGGTGAGATCAAGGCCCTCTGGGGTAAGTGTCTTGGGGAATCCTGGGAGGAGATGAGAACATAGGTAATGGGTAATGGAAGGAGACAAGCTCTGGGAGATATACTGGTATTCAGTAGAAACTTCACAGGAACATGAATGTACAAGGATGGAGGCAATGACTTAAAACAGGCTTTTTAGGGTCATGTATGAATTCAAGGTTTTCAGCAGGATGCACAGGTTAGGTTTGGTGGATGCCTGTTTTAGGGTCCCTGAACCAGAAAGGAGGACCCTGAGACATGTCTGGGGGAAACATACCAGAGATTGCAGCATTGTTAACCAGCAGATGTATCTCGGGGTACTCCTGCAGAAGCCACCGGGCAAAGCTCCGGATGGAGGCCATAGAGCTCAAGTCCACCTGGCCAAGCAGGAGGCAGGTCCCCTTTGAGGCTACTTGGATCTCGGCAAGGGCTTTCTGTCCACGCTCCCAGTTACGGCAGGCGAGGATCACACGGGCCCCACGACGAGCTAGTTCCTGGCATACAGCCTTTCCGATGCCTGTAGGAGGGCAGCTTGAGTACACTAGTCTGGGGAATGACTAGAGGTGCCGGTCCTCATCCCCACCCTCTCCACTGGCTCTGTTAGAGACTGAGGTACCTATTGAGGTAGCAAGATGGGAAGAGCACTCACCACTATTGGCTCCAGTCACGACTGCTGTCTTCCCAGTTAGGTCTGTGGAGCACTGTCGGAGGTCCCAAAGATAAGATTCATGCCAGAGCCGCACACTTAGTCTAAGCAGGACTAGAATAAGCAGAACAGAGCCAGGGCTCCAGACCAGGGTGCCAAGTAGAGACCACTGCAACATAGCAAAGACTTGCTGGTCTGCCACCAGAAGAGCTGGGCTACAGTGCAGGTAAGTTAGGGAGGAGCTAGCCAAAGCTAAGTGGAGATTAGCAATCAGGCTGGTGTGGTGCCTAGGGACACAAATTTTAAAGAGGCTACTCACTCTCAGATTTTTTGAAGCACCCTATTTGAGCTTGGGAGGGAATTCCACCTTAAATTGCATGCCTTGGACACTTGATTGCCTCACTGCTATCTCTGGCTCAAAGTCAGTGCTTCCCTGAGCCCTGTGTAGGCTCATAGTTGTCTCCAAGTGAAACTTGGATTTGCGCCCTAAGGTGAATTGATAAACTCCAGGAATTGGAGAAGCAGGATATCAAATTTTGTCTTTAATCAACGTGTTCTTAAGCAGGGACATCCCCTTACTCCTCTACTGCAAGGAGACTCTGATTCTAACTGAAGCAGACCCCACTTGCAGCCTTTTTGTCTACTCCTTTGTGGAGTGGGGGGCGGTTCTCCAGAACGCCTCTGCTGGGGAGCAACAGCTACCCTAATGCAGGGTCTCCTAAGGGTGGAAATGGGGTTATTCCTTGGGACCAGTGTTCTGTATTCTTCTAGGACTGCAGGACAACTGCTCCTGAGTAAGTATCCTTGGAAGAAACTGACAGAGACATCAGACCAACTCTTAAGGCAATTCAGGTGTTTATTCTGGCAAGCAGAAAGTACTGCCTGAGCTTCACAGCCCAGAATAGGGCAGGTGCTTGGGGAGGAATGACCACACTTTGGGGGTTGGGTTCTTCATTAGTTGTCTCATGGTCACCTGAGGCTTTGGGGCACCTGTCGGGATGGGGTGCTGCTCAACGGGAGGAGACGTGCCACTTTCTTTGTCCTCCTGCTGGGGTACTGCAGATCTGAGGAGCACCTGGGTGTTTGGGTTCCACATGCTCACACCAGGAGCCAGTTTCATCGCGTCTGGCAGCAACATGGGCTTCCACATCACCTGCGACGTGGCCTCAAGGACTTGGGGTGCCGAATGTGGCCACCTGTGAGGACCCTGACCCTCCTGGTCCCCGGGATCCAGGCCCTGCGGATCTAAGCGGCTGCGGCCGGCCCACATGTCCCTCAGCAACTCAGCCTCCCCCTCCCAGCCACAGGGCCATTTGGCACCCGGCCACAGTTTGGGGCTGGGGCTCTGGGCCAGATCAGGGAGGGCTGGATGCGAGGCAAGAAAGCCAAGGCCAGGTCTGGGAAAGGGCAACTTTGACCCAAAGCCTGGCGATGGTAGGCCTAAGCTAAAAGGGGGGGATTGGAGGCCAGGGCCCGGGCCCAAGGCACGGAAAGGAGCGCTAGGTGGGAAAGAGAAGAAAATTTTCGGGGAGACACCAATACGGGGTCCTGGTGTTAGAGGCCTGGCAGGAGCCTCGGGAGCTTCGGTCCTCGCACCCCTCTGGCGCCCACGGTAGGCTTCCAGGGATCGTGCCTCCGAGTCTGGAACCAGAACCTCGGCCAACGGGCGCACCCAATGGCATGGCAGGCGCATGGGGTCCAGACGAGCCCCAGCCTTGCGGCCCATCCTGTAGGGAAGCTTGCTCAGGGGAACATCCGGGAACCGAGGCTGCAGTGGCTCTAATTGGGCAGAGGGGCCGAGCGTTGTGGGGACACCGGCGGAGAGGCTGGCCACCGACACGCCCGAGTCGATGTGGGGCACGTCCTCCTTCTTGAGCTTCAGCCTGTCCCCAGCTACGTGTGGCTGGGACGTGCAATAATAGAGGCCCTCCAGTGACAACTGCGAGCTGCGGGGCTGTGCCCTCTGGGCCAAGACCTGGGTGCTGGCTACCTGAGACAGCTCCAGAGAAGCGTGGGGACTGTCATCAGGAGCCATCTCCACCAATGGTTGGCGGCTTACATTCAAGGACTCCACCAAAGCCTGGTGGTCTCTGGACTGGACAGCTGAGTCCCCTAAAAGACTCCCGGACCCTGTCTCCTGAAACAGCTCTGGGGTAGGCGGGGGGCCAGAAGTGACTCCCAGCTCTGGAGAAGGCTCCCAAGATTCCATCTGCTTCTGAGAGCCTCTCTCCATCCATGGTCTTCCTAAGGAGATCTGGTCCACGCTCCCTTGGTCCTAGGGAAATGCATGGAGGATAGGGGTGGAGAGTGAGTAGTGAGATGTCATAAAGGGGAGAGAGGAACTAAGGGTAAAGGAGTCCAGGGAGCCTGAGGAGAAAGAAGACACAGGCAGGGCTCAGGGTAGGGGAGTGGGGGTCAGAGGGAGCTGGGGGCTGCACTTACTTCGCCTTGGAAGGTCTCCTCCAGCCCCATGGAGGTGGGTGCATGCAGCACAGGCACCGATCCCTGAGCCCAGGCATCCGTAGTGCATGCCAAGGGCTCCTCGTCCTCGTGCCACATGGGGTCCTCCACCACGGCTGATTCCCCCTCATCCCTGGCCAGGAAGCGCCACTCAGTGATCTGCAGCATGGCCTCCCGGGCCTGACTAATGGTGAATGGAATGCACTGCAGAGGTGAGAGGGGGTCTCAGTCCAATGTGGACCAGAAGGGTGGGTGGAGATGGGTCTGGAGAACCCGGATCCAGGCCCACCTGCTGGGTCAAGTAGACTTTGAAGGCAGAGTCCATGACTCGGGCCAGCAGATCAGCCAAGATGTCCCCTACAACATCCTCTCCCTCCTGGAGAGCCATGAGCGCCAACCATTCAGCCTCCGTGAGCCGCCCAGGTACGATGTCCACCTGTGGCACCTGCACTGTAGGAGGCCGCACCTTTTCTGCCTTGGATCGGGTCGCCCCACGGTCCCGGATCTGTCTCTCCTGCCTCTGTGATGAAAGAACAGGACAATCAGGGCAGGAAACAGAGAAGTGGAATGGAGAAGCAGCTATGTAGGCTAGGAGGAAGCTTTCTCAAGCTATGAAGTAAGAAGGAAAAGCCTTTTGAAAAGAACAATGTACTAAGAGCCTACCATGTCAGATGCATTTTAGATGTTTGACCTAGTTAATTTATTTTTTAACATTTATTTATTTGGGGCACCTGGGTGGCTCAGCTGATTAAGCATCTGCCTCAGGTTCAGGTCATGATCTGCAGGCTCTGGGATGGAGCCCCACATAGGGCTCCCTGCTTGGTGGGGAGTCTGTTCTCCCTCCCCCTTTCCCTCTACCTCTCCCCCTGCTTGTGCTCTGTCTCCTTCTTGCTCTCAAATGAATAAATTTTAAAATCTTAAAAAAAAAAAAAAAGATTATTGGGCAGCCTGGGTGGCTCAGCGGTTTAGCGCTGCCTTCAGCCCAGGGCATGATCCTGGAGACCCGGGATCTAGTCCCGCTTCAGGCTGCCTGCATGGAGCCTGCTTCTCCCTCTGCCTGTGTCTCTGCCTCTCTCTCTCTCTCTGTGTCTCTCATGAATAATAATAATAATAATAATAATAATAATAATAATAATAATAAAAGACTATTCATTTGAGAGAGAGTGGGGAGGGGCAGAGGGAGAGATTCTTTCAAGCAGATTCTCACTGAGCAGGGAACCTGACATGGGGCTTGATCTCCCGACTTGGAGATCATGACCTGAGCTGAAACCAAGGGTGGGAGGCTTAACCAAATTAGCCACCCAGGTGCCCTTGACCTAGCTAATTTATTTTTCATAACAGCTCCCTAAACCCATTTAAAAAAAAAAAACAAAAACAAATCAAAAACACTGAAAAGACACAAGATAACCATCGCTTGTTTGAGATTACAGAGTACACCCTGCTATTGGCACTAGTTCAAAAGGTTCAAAGTTCTTGAGAGTTCAAAGAAATTAAGAGAGTCAATAAGTGGTTAGGGCTCTTTTAGAGTCTCCTTCTCTCCCCCAAATCAGCTTAGATCCTCATTTTACAATATACATCTAAATAAATTCCAGGGACACCTGAGTGGCCAGTCGGTTAAGTGTCTACCCCTCAGCTACAGTCATGATCTCAGGGTCCTGGGATCAAGCCCCACATTGGGCTCCCTGCTCAGGGGCAGGGAGTATGCTTCTCCCTTTCCCTCTCCCTCTCCCCGCAGCTTCTGCTCTCTGTCTCTCTCAAGTAAATAAGTACATAAAATATTTAAAAATAAATGAATTCCAGATGTATTAAAGGATACACACACACACACACACACACACAAACCCCACAAAAATATAAACAAAAAAATAAAATGTAGGAAAAAAGTAGGTCGGATTGTCATATGACAATCTGTGAGAAAAAACTGCCTAAGCGTTAAAAATTATGTAAGAAATCATAAAGAAATAGCTAGAGAGGTGTGTACACATAGGCAAAATTTTCCTATACTTATTTTTAAAACACTCCTAATTACAAGTGGACAGTAGTTACCATTCACTGGCACTTAAGTGTATCAGTTACAAACATTGACTCAAGTCCTACATTTTTAGACTACATGCTATTTTGTCCTCATTTTACAGAATTTTTCCAGATCACACAGCAAGGAAGTAGTGGAGTCATAATTCATACACAGGTATGTCTGACTTTACCCTGCTTTCCAAAACAAAAAAAAATGCAATAAATATCCCCAAGTATATTAAAAATCATAATAATAAAATAATAAATAATCATAATACCCCAAGGATAATAAGCAAAGGACATAACATTTCACAAATGTAAAAGACTGATGATATAAATGATAAACATTTGAAAAGATGTCCAACGTTCAAAAATATCAATTCCAGTTTTATGAACACATCCAAAGGCATATCCTAAAATGAAAATAAAAAAATATAGGAGCACCCAGGTGGCTCAGTGGTTGAGCTTCCGCCTTTGGCTCAGGGTGTGATCCTGGGGTCCTGGGATCGAGTCCTGCATCGGGCTTCCCACAGGGAGTTTGCTTCTCCTTCTGCCTATGTCTCTGCCTTCTCTGTCTCTCATGAAAAAAAATAATTTAAAAAAGAAAATAAAAAATATATTCTCCAACATATTTCCTGTGCTGTCATTTACAATAGCAGAATACTGAAAACGTAAGTCCAGGGGTGCCTGGGTGGCTCGGTGGTTGAGCATTTATTTGCCTTCAGTTCAGGGTGCGATTCTGGGGTACTGGGATCAAGTCCTGAGTCAGGCTCCTTCAGGGAACCGGCTTCTCCCTCTGCCCATGTCTCTGCCTCTCTCTCTGTGTCTCTCATGAATAAATAAAATCTTAAAAAAAAAAAAAAGAAAACATATATCTAACAAAAAGAGAATATATAGCTTATTGTGTGCCCTCTTTATCAGGAAATATTATGCAATGATTAAAGATAATCTTTAGGAAGGATTTGTAATAGCATAGGAAAATACTTAATGATGTAATGACAAATGAAAGAAACAGGATACAAAATTACATATCAAGTATCATCTCAGATGTATGTGTTAAAGAAAAGGAAAACACCAAAATTTTAACAGTGGACATGTTTCTTTCTTGTGCTCTTCTCTAATTTACAAGTTCTCAACAATGAGTCTGTATCCTTTTATAATCAAGAAAAATCCACATAAAAAGAAAAAAAGTAGTTCTATAAATTCATTTTAGGGACATTGGAAATCTACTAGCAGATTCTTGGGAGCCTCCTCACTCTCCTACAAGTTTCCCTGAACCTGGCTCCTTCCAAAATTTACTTCTAAATGTAATCTTCCCAAATCTTTACCTTCTTAACCCCAACCTTATTGCTTCATACCAGATAGACCCCAAATTCATTCTTCCCCAAATCTGATGTTTCTTAAACCTTACACTGAACTCAAAACCCCTTAAGTCTCATTTCTCTTCTCTGTAATGAAAACAGCCCTAGTGACAAACCCAGGGAGTAGCCCACAGCCCAGCCCAGGCTTGGCCAGAACAGGGCAGGTAGTGCTGGGAGAGGATAGTGGGTTCCTTAGACTTACTCTCCTAGCCTCTCATGAGCCAACAGTGATAGTGATTGTACCTAGACGCTGGCCTGACCAGAGAGGCCAGAGATACTATTGCATAAAATCTCCTCAAATATGTTTTATTTAAAAATATCTTGGCTTTTGCAGCACTTGGGTGGCTCAGTAGGTTAAGCCTCCGCTCTTGATTTTGGCTCAGGTCATGATCTCACAGTCGTGGAGCTCCCAGTCATCCGGAAGACTGCTTGAGATTTTCTCTCTTCTTCTTCCTTTGCCCTTTCCCCACCTCCTTCTCACGTGGACTCTCATGAATCAATCTTTTAAAGAAATTTCTTGGCTCTTAAACAATTTGACTTTCAAGTGCAGCCTCACAGTTTTTTTTTTTCTTTTTAAAGACTTTGTTTATTTATTCATGAGAGGCACAGAGAGAGGCAGAGACAAAGGCAGAGGGAGAAGCAGGACCCCTGTGGGGTGCCTGATATGGAACCCGGACGGAAATCGATCCCAGGACCCCAGGATCATGATCCGAGCCAAAGGATCCACTGAGCCACCCAGATGCCCCAGAGTGGTTTTTTAAATCCATTTCCTTCTCTTAAAATCCTTGAAATGAAGTTTATTCAGCAACACCTCTCCCCAGTGCCTGACCAAAGTGTCTGGTTTATCTATTTGAATGGGTACCTCAAAATTGAGGCACTTATTACTCGCATTAGCTGCTTCCAAAGTCGTCAGTTCCTGCTCTTGCGCTCTGCACCACACATCTGACTTTTTGCCTCAGGTTCGGAGTGTGACCAAGTGTGTTAGTGTGCGTGGTGCAGGTGTAGATTTTCTACCTGAGACCCACGTGGCTTCCTCCTCGGTCATCAGGAACGCCCGTATGGTGGGCGAGCCACGGCTGGCATGGGCCCGGCCCACGGTTCCCCCACACCGACTTTAAAGGCAGATCCCAGGGGATCCTTGGGTGGCTCAGCGGTTTAGCACCTGCCTTTGGCCCAGGGCACGATCCCGGAGTCCCAGGATAGAGTCCCGCGTCGGGCCCCCGGCATGGAGCCCGCTTCTCCCTCTGCCTGTGTCTCTGCCTCTCTCTCCTCTCTCTCTGACTATCATGAATAAATAATAAAAAATATTTAAAAAAATAAAATAAAAAATAAAGGCAGATCCCAGCTCCGGCGCACCCCGAGCCCAGCTGAAGCTAACCGAGCCTTCGTGAGCCATGGCCGCAGCTGTCGCACCAACCCCGGGGATTCGGCAGCTTCGCCGCGCCGCCGCCGCCGCCGCCGCCGCCGCCGCGCCGCCGCTGCCGCCTAAGCGTCGCCCTAGCAACGGCGCCCAGCACGGAGCTGCAGGCCCGGCCTCCAGAGGCTCGCCCCGCCCACAGTTGCTCTGGCAACCGCGCCGCGCTCCGCAGGTTTGGGTCGCTTGGCCCCGCCCAATGGCCGTGCGTACGTGCGTCGTCTCTATGGTGGCGGCGGATTCGCAGCGACCGAACGATCCCGGGACTCAGGCAAGTGATCCCGAGGCTGCGGCTGTGACCTCTGGCCCCGGCCGGGGGCTTCGGGGAGCCAGCTGAGAGAGGGAGGGTCCGAGGGCTGCCCTGCCTCAGGCCGCCTTCGCTCGGGCGCTTGGCGCCCCCGGGTCCTGTGCCATCGCCATCCCCACTCTGGGATTCCCCCACCGCCCCATGACTCAGCCCTGAGGCTCCCCTTTCCTGCTACCCAAGACCTCCCCACGCCAGACTCCGCATCGCCGTCCTCGGGGTCCCCATCACCTCCTGACCCACCCTCGGTGGTCTCCTTCAGTGCCTCGTGACAGCACCCCCCCCCCATTCCTCCTGCAGGAATCACCGCTGTCGTCTGTTTCCTGCGCGCCTGCGATTCGGCCCCGTCTCCGCTAGGATGTTCCGCCGGGAGCGCTCTATTCCGCTGCGAGGTTCGGCTGCAGCCCTGTGCAACAACCTCAGTGTGCTGCACGTACCCGCCCGCAACCTCACACATTTTGGGGTGGTCCATGGACCCAGCGCCCAGCTTCTCAGCGCTGCTCCTGAGGGTGTGCCGTTGGCCCAGCGCCAGCTCCACGCTAAGGAAGGAGCTGGAGTGAGCCCTCCACTTATCACCCAGGTAAGGCGTGGCGTTGAGAGTGGTGTTACTGAACCCAGTCCTCATCTGTGTCCTTCCTCTACAAGTCTCAAGGAATCTGCCTTTCCCAACCCTCTAATTTCCCAGTCTTTTTTTTTTTTTTTTTTTTTTTAATTTCCCAGTCTTTTGAGTCCTATCCTCCACTCTGACCACTTTTTCCTACCCTGGGCCACTTCCCTTTAGGTCCATTGGTGTGTCCTCCCTTTCCGGGTGTTGCTGGTACTCACCTCACATCGAGGAATACAGGTAAGAAGAGCTTCCTACCCTCCCCGACTAGAGTTTTCTCAACTTTTCCCCCAGGACCCTAGACCCTACCCCACTTGCTTCTTTTTTTTTTTTTTTTTTAATTTTATTTATTTATTTATTTATTTATTTATTTATTTATTTATTTATGATAGTCACAGAGAGAGAGAGAGAGGCAGAGACATAGGCAGAGGGAGAAGCAGGCTCCATGCACCGGGAGCCCGACGTGGGATTCGATCCCGGGTCTCCAGGATCGCGCCCTGGGCCAAAGGCAGGCGCCAAACCGCTGCGCCACCCAGGGATCCCCCCCACTTGCTTCTAAACACAAATTCTTCACATGTTTACCCTACTCTTATTTCTCATTTTCGTTCTTTCCATCTTTTCCAATTCCCACGTGCCATCTCCACTACCTGCCTCTTTACTAGCTGTCTGACCTCAGGCAGTTAACTTCTCAGAGCTTCAGTGTCCTCTGTAAAATGGGAATAAAAGTAGTGCCTGCCTCCCAGAGTCGTTTGAGGATGAAATGGGCTAAAGCTAATGTGAGTATGTGAAGTATTCAGCATAGCTCAGCAAAGGTCAGCTGGATTGTGCTCCCATCCTTGCTCTTGTCTTCCAGATGTACGAGTCAGATGGCTCTGTCATGGTTTATTGGCACGCCCTGGACTCTGGAGACGTGTCTCCAGGTACCTGCAGGACTGAGTTGGGGTGAGGGTAGGGAGTGTTTGGTGGGGCTGGAGGAGGTGCTATTTCTAATAGTATTCACCTTTCATACTCAGTACAGGGTGTGTTTGCCCGAGGAATTGCTTCCAGTGGCCACTTCATCTGTGTGGGTGAGGGGGCCAAAGGGAGGGCATTGGGGAGGTCCTGAGGTAGAAGGGTGTGGGCTGTGGCTAGGAGGATGCTGAAGGTTTGAGGGGAATTTTTAGGGTTAGAGGGAAGGGTAGGAGTGAAGGGGACTCTTACAGAGACTCCAAAAAAGCAAAAGAGGGCTTCAGAGGGGCAGGACAGGCTAGAATAACAGCAGTCAATGGAGGAGCAGAGCTGTTGGAGCAGTGAGTGGTGGGTTTGTTATGAAGGGAGGAAGGATGGAGAGAGTGCTGTGTGTGGTGGTTGGAGGATCAGGAAGTCATCAGTGGGCACTGTTTTCTACAGGAACATGGTCAGGCCGGATACTGGTATTTGACATCCCAGCCAAGGGTCCCAACATTGTACTGAGTGAAGAGCTGGCTGGACACCAGACATCAGTCACAGACATTGCAACTGAGCCTGCCCAGGGACAGGTGAGTGGATTCCCCCTACCAATTCCAGTGAGCCTGAGAGCTCTCCCACTTTGGCAGATAGCAGACCTGGGTTTAAGTCTTGATTCCAACACTAAGCAGCTGGATCACTTTGGGCATATTGCAGCTCTTTCCCAGGCTTCAGCAACCTCAAGTCCAGTGATGAAGCCCTACATTCCATTTATGTGGCATTTAATAGTTCACGACTCCTTTTCAGTACTGGTGTGAATTGAGGAGTTGGGACAGATGGTGTCTAAGATGCTTTCTAACTCTGACATGTGCAGCTTCCTTTTCTGGACTTGGGCATGCCCTACTTATTTAGGCCCACCTCTAGTGCCACTCTCTTCAGGAAGCCATCCCCCTATTCCTGCTCCCACTAATCTCCTTTGGCTGGACCCTGAATTATTACTACCCTCAAAGACAACTCTTGTCTCCCTAATTGGATTACAAACCTGTTGAGAACAGGGTATGTATGTTCTAATTCATATTCTCCACTGCACCTGACCCAGAGCTGAGCCCATGAGCTATGTTGTTTACCTGGGGTTGGGGGTTGTCAAGAGGCCTAGACTAGTCATGACTGTGACCAGCTCACTGCAAGACCTCCAAAAGATCATAACACTATGTTCTCAGCTTCCTCATCCATCCAGTGAGGACAATGATATACCCCACTCCTCACACATGGTTTGTCAGGTCAGTGAGAGTCAGACTAAGGAATGCAAGGCGGGTGGGCACGGGGGCGGGGGGACCCTGAGTGGCTTAGTCAGTTAAGTAACAGCCTTCAGCTTGTGTTGTGATCTTGGGGTCCTGGGATCGAGCCCCACATCGGGCTTCCTGCTCAGAGGAGAGCCTACTTCTTCCTCTCCCCGCCCCCTTGCTGGTGATCTCTTTGTCTCTCTCCTCTCTCTCTCCTCTCAAATAAATAACATCTTTAAAAAAGGAATGCAAGGGAGGCATTGTATGCATCCTGAGGAAACCCCATATCCAGCTGGTGAGGGCTCCACATTTTGCCCTTTCCTTGGAGAGGCAAAGATGCAAGTGAGGCCTCCCTTTCCCTTCTGGCCTGTATACAGCACCCAGCAGGGGAGGAAGGGAAGGACTGATCTTACTTTTCTTCTCAGGACTGCGTGGCTGACATGGTGACAGCAGATGACTCAGGCTTGCTATGTGTCTGGCAGTCAGGGCCCGAATTCAAATTAATGACCCGAATTCCAGGATTTGGGTAGGTGAGGTGGAAGGGGGCTGATACCTTCCTGAGTGGTCAGAGCAAATTTAAGTGGATTATCACCCTTGCAGGGTCCCGTGCCCTTCTGTGCAGCTATGGCACGGGATGGTCGCAGCAGGCTACGGGGATGGGCAAGTGCGTCTGTATGAGGCCAGTACAGGAACTCTGCACGTCCAGATCAGCGCCCATGCCCGGGCCATCTGTGCCCTGGACTTGGCTCCCGAGGTGGGCAAGGTCAGTCTCCTTCTCCATCCCTCCATCCCCGTGTTCCTGGTACAGGGATGTTGAGAGGAACTGCACAGGCTTGTCTGCTCCTCAGTCTAGCCCTGTCCCTGGATACCCGGACCAGGCACTACAGCCAATGCTAGTCCCCTGTCAGCATGTGCTAGTGCCCACTTTTCCTACAACCTTTTTTTTTTTTATAGCTTCTCTCTGCAGCCGAGGACACCTTTATACACATCTGGAAGCTGAGCAGAAGCCCGGAGAGTGGCCACACTGAGGTGTGTGTTGTGGGAGGAGTGGAAAGTGGGGTCCAAGCATAAGGCAGCAGGCCCTGAGCAGCCCTCTTCTCCCCCAGGTGGAACACTGTCATGGTGAGTGTGTACCTGACACCCAGGTCTGTGGTGCCCGATTCTGTGACCCCTCAGGCAGCTCCTTTGCTGTGACTGGCTATGACCTTGCTGAGATCCTGAGATTCAGCAGCGCGTGAGAAGAGCAGCCCTCCTTTCTCCCTGCCGTATTTATAAAGGAACCCTCCACCCAGCCCTTGTCTGTTTACTCAGTATCACAGGCGACGATCAGTCAGCTCAGCTCCAGGGATGAGGGTATGGGGCAGGTCCAGACCAAGCAAAGAGGCAGTCTGTCCTCAAGAACCAGGTGAGGGCTGCCGTTAAATAACTTTTAATGGTTGTTGTGAGAGTCACAAGGGAGGTGACTCCCAAGGCTCTTCAGTGCCATCCTCAAAGCTGGTTAGTGCAGGGAGGTAGGGCAGGATTGGTTCCAGTTTTCTCCCAGGAAGGGTTTAAGGGGGGGTCCCAGCCAGTCGGAATGAGCCCCTCAGCACCTTGGCAACCACAGCTGAAGAGGGGCTTCTGCTCCCCCAGTCCAGCAGAGGAAGGGGAGGCCAAGCTGGCCAACCTGCTACTGACAGCGCCGCATCCAGAGCCCAACTGCATGTAGGTCCTCTCTTCCTCTGGCCAGATCCTGTTGCAAGCACCTTTCTGTCTCATACTGGTGACTGGAGCCAAGTGCGGGGTGGGCCTTTGCTGAAGAGGCCTCTGGACCTTGGGGATCGCTGCTGGGGGAGAGGGGCAACCGCGTGGGAAGCCCTAGGGGAGTGGTCTGGGGGGACAGCGTCCAGGGAGAATGTTCGGGGTCGCCCCCAGGGCATGGGGTAGGTCCGAGCTGGGGCTGGGGCCACTGAGGCAGGTGAGCAGGGGCTAGGCAGGGCAGGCTGTTCTGTAAACATTGCTAGCCAGGGTGGGGGTGTCTCCAGCCTTGTGCCCTCCCGCTGGGCCAAGATGTCTGTCACCGCTGCGATGTCATCCAGCGGCTCAATAGCTGTGACACCAGGAAGGGGTTGAGGGGAGGGGGCTAGTCAGAGCTTAGGCCCCAGGCCTACCCAGCCCTGATCATCACCTGTCACTGTAATAGGAGGAAAGCAAAGCCCGGATCTCAGCTGAGATCGTATTATCCTGCAGGAGAAGCCCCTCACCTGGGCCCCCTGGGGCCACAGTCTCTGATAAGACTACAGGATCCGGGATGCAGGGGGATGGAGATGAAGGGGTGGGCAGAAGTGAATGAAAAAAATTAAGAAAAGGAGGAAAATGAAAGCAGTGCCAGGCAAGTGAAGGGTCAGAGGAAGAGACAGGAATCCGCATGCAGAAAGGGAAACAGAGAAGAAGAAATTAGGAAAGAAACCCATGAAATGAATCTGGCTCTTTGGGGGTTTGTCTGGAACTGTGGTGGCGATAGCTCTAAGAAGAGCTGGAGAAGAGAAACCAATGCAACAGGACTGAGTGGGCCTTGGGTCCCCAGAGCTCTGCCTCAGCCTATTGCTTTCTCTCTGTTTCCATTATCTGGGCTACCTTGAAGCCCCCACCCCACTTCCCATCAGGTTCCTGAAGTGTTCTTTCACTCACCCATCTCATGGTACAAGGATCCCTGCTTGGCCAGTACTTGGGATGGTTTCCGGGGAACAGGGGTTTCAATCTTCATGATCTCATCACAGCACTGCTTCCACTGGCCTGAAGGGAGAGCAATGATTGGGGAGGGAGGAGGAAGACCGAGAGGGCCAGGCCCTCCTCTCCCCTGCAACATTTCCCTTCCATGCTTTCTGAAAACAGAGGCCTTTGCTAAAAATAAACCCCATCCCTCACAAAGGTTCAGACCATCCCCCTCCTCTTACTCATGTCAAAGAAAAGCTGCCACAGAGCTTCCATCCAGCTGTGCAGGGCTCCCCGACTCTCTGTCTGAAGGGTGTGTGTCACCTCGTCCTCCCCATACCGGTTACTGATGCTCAGGGTGAAGGGCCGGCCTGCAGCCTGCTCCAGCTCCCCTGCCCGCACTCGAGTCTCCTGCAGGAGAAAAAAGGGCTCTGCTTCCACCTTCATCCTGATCACAGAAGTCAGCAGTGACCTGAAGCAGGTTTGGTCATCCCTGCCTTAGAAGGAGGAGCTTGTTGGGTCTCTCATTTGCCTCCTACTGAGCAGAGCAGGAAGGAATGGCAGGAAAGGACTGGGATGAAACAGAGCGTCTTCAGGAAAGAGGAGCAGAAGGAGACAGGAACAGAGGGATTAAGTGAGACAGGGAAGGCACAGAGATGAGCAGGAGTGCTGAGGCCTAATGGCCCTCAGTACTTCCATAAAAGTTGGCAGGAGAGCCAGCAGAAGAGGTCAGAAATCAAGAGGGATCACTGGATTTGGGTTGGGAGAGAAAGCCAGGAAAGGGAGAAGGTGCAGACTGCAATCTGAGGGAAAGGACAGAAAGGGGATGAAAATCCTAAACTGGCCATGGGACCCTCGGGGACTTGGTGGGGCTGTCGCTGGTGAGTAGGAGAGCCTTTTCCAGTGATGCCAGCGAGAACATTCCTGGCCCTGAAGCTGGGTGTGGTGCTGTTAGGAGCAGCAGCAGGCTAGACTTCCATCTCTGCACCCACCCTCCTGGGGCCTGAAGAAGATGCTCCTGGGCCTGGGCACCTGGTAGTTTCACCACCAAGGGACCCATCACCTTGTTGATGGCAATAGTAAACAACGGCTCTTCCCCAGTGTCTGCGTCTTCAGGTTGCCGGTAACAGAAGAGGTTTGTGCCTTTCAGGACTCCATGCACTCGCGCCCAGTCCTGCAGCTCCCCAGCTTGCTGCGTAAATGACTCAAGGTTTCCTGGGGGAATCACACCCTCCAACACCCTTCTTCCCATTCCCCCATTGAGCATCTGCTCCTTTCTGCCCACCCTCATGTCTGATCCTCCTGTCTTCTTGCCATAACCCTCCTTCCTCCGCCCAGATCTTGAATTCTCTGTAGTCCTTCGGTGCCCAGATGATCCAACTCTCCTCTGCCTTCTCCATGTTCCCTTCTACACCTCAGGGCCCCTCACCTGTACCCTGAGGGTACCATTTGCGGTAGGCTGAGTCATGCAGAAAGGCTGAGCCACCAGGCGACAACACACGCTACCATAAAGGGGAAGCCAGGCGGGATTCTCCTCTGGGGGACAGAAAGTGCAGGGTAAGGGTGGGGAACAAGAGGGGACTATCCAGTAGCCCCTATTCTCACTGTCTGGCGTCCCCTGCCCTCAACAACACATACTCACCATGGCTGGCGAGGGTAAGGTCGTGCGTGCGGAACCCATCCTGCACTGCTGCCAGGGTGAGTGTGGTGTGAGCCAACAGGTGGTAACGAGGACCACTGTAGGACAGATACAGAAATGGGCCTCAGCCCAGTGATGGCTGTCTCAGGCAGCAGAAGCTCTGAGGGCAGAGCAAATCTGCCCCCATTGTTCAGGCTGTCCCCCAGAAAACTAGCTTGCCTCCCCCACAAGGCTGAGAACATTTACCGAGCTCCTGCTAAGTGTCACGTCCTGTACTTTAGATATGTTATCCCACTGTATTCCCACAACAACCTTGGGATGTTGGTGGCATTGTTTCCTTCACAGATGAGACAGCTTGAGGCTTGGAGAAGTTAAGAAATTTGCTCGTATTTTATAGCTGGTAAGTGGTACAGCCAGAATTTGACCTATAGCTGTCTCCAAAGGCAGCAAAATCACTGCCCTAGAGCTTCTGAAACTGCTGCTCAGAGACCCAGTGTTTCCATCGGTGCTTCCAGGCACCAGTAGGCAACCCTGCAGGACCGGGGCTACTTTGGTCCAACCAGAGCACTCTGTTCTCTCCACATAAGATGCATTTGCCACTGCAAAAAAACTGAAAACCCCGGAGCTTAGCTCTCCCTGCATTCCCACTGGTCTTCTCAGTTGACTTGGGCCCAGCTCCAGGGCATAGGCCAGAGTGCTTCCCAGCTGTGTGGGCTACTGCTTGATCATGTAGGTCTGTGCACTGTGGTAGCAATGCAAAATAGGTTCTGCATGCTCAGCACAGCTCAGAGCCCATTCCCCCTTGGCCAGGATATATGCAGCTAAGGGCAGTGGGGGGGTGTAGGACCTTACCCCACAGCTGGGGTGGGAAGCAAAATGGGACTGCTTCCTGAACCTCCAGCACTCTCCAGCGATGCCCGGACACGCCTCCCTGAGGAGCGGCCTAGGGAGCTGCTGAGTTTGGTGGCAAGCCTCTTGGGGGCTCCAGCCAGGGCCCCCTCCTCTTCCATGCAGGCCCCATACAGCTCCAGTCGCAGTTCAAAGTCTGGCCCTGCCTCGGTGCTATAGGAGTGTGGGAGGAAGAGAGGACGATGGTCCTGGGGAAGCCCAGGGAGGCGTGAGAGGGTGGGCAGGGGTGGAGGATGGATGTGGTCCAAGCACAGGACAGCTGCAATGGATGCAAGCACAGGACAGCTCCGCGCCAGGTGAGGCCCACCTTCCTTCCCTGCAGCTGGCATCCAAGGATTGGAGCAGAGAGGAAAATGGAGGGAGCCACAGGGACAAGGTACTCACAAGATCACGTTGTTCTGAAAGGAGATGTCTGTAAGGGTTCTGTCCACCAGGATCATTTCTGTGTCCTGAATGTGTTCCCCTAGCTGCAGCAGCAGGAACACAGCCCAGCGGTGCAAGTCTGGGGACAGAGGCCCAAGCTGGTAAAGACCGTGCCTCACAAGAACCTCCAACCTCAGGGCAGTGCCCCACAAGAACCTCCAGCCTCTCTGTTCCAGCATGTGTGGAACTCACCGCCTTTGTTCTTGAAATATTCTGTGTCCTTCCACATGAGTGGAATCCGGAGGTCTGAGGGGCAGAGGGGCAGGAAGAGATGTTGAGACAGGGCAGGAGATCTTGTGATGGGGCAAGGAGTGCCAGCAGCTTGAGGGGGTGAGGGCGGAATGCTTCTTACCAGAGATGCAGACCCGGCCTCGGCAAGGCGAGCGTTCAGCAGGCGGCCCACTGTCAGAAGGCCTGTGGGCAAATCACAGCATCCTGGCCTGACCTTTAGACCTTGTTTCTCCCCCACCAGTCTGGTTCCCAGGGGCTCTAGGATGCCTCCAGCCCAGGACCTAGCCCCCCAGGTCCCCAGCCAGGCTGACAGCAGGGCTGGAGGGCAGTTAGAGCGGTCAATTGGACCCAGGGGTCCGCTGGGCTTGGAGACACTAGAGGCACATTAGCTCACATGCAGCACAAACTCCAGCCCCCTCCCCCACCAAGCACCCTCTCTGACCATCTCCCCCAGACTCCTGCCAGGCACACAGCAAGGCTTGAGGGAACAGGTGCCTACAGAGAGACTCCTTTTCAAGGGCTCTTCTCCATTAAACCCCAGGCTTGGAGGAGTTTGCAGGCATTCTTTCTAACAATAGGAAAGGCTGTTCTTCACCATCCTATCACTTCTTTGATATAGGAGGGTACTAGGTCAGTCAGAAAATCAAGAAGCTAAGTAAAAAATATATATTCCATTTGCCACACACCTCTCTCTTCCTCCCCCTCAGTTCTGATTTCTCCTCTACCATCCCCAGATAGGTTGAGCCTTCCCAGTAGCCAAGTTCCTCAGCCCCCACACCGGGGCCTTTCCCCCCTCCCCACCCACCAGCAGGACTCACTGAGCATGCATCTCTCCTAAGGTGACAGCCAGTTTAGCCATTAGCAACTTAGTAGGGCCTTAAAAATGATGCAACACTTTTGGCAATGCATTTAGTTGTCAGTGATTTGGGGTGTATCTCAAATCACACTGCCTAGGCTGTGCGGGGACTTGGACAGGGTAAAGCTTGATGATGGCTGCCTCTTGGGAGACAGCAAATTCACATTAGGAACTGCCCCTTGTCTGCCTGCCCATTTGCTTTACGGGGAAGCCACAGAGTTGCTTATCTATCGTCCCCTGGGGGCTTCATGAGTGAGCTCTGGAGGGCTCCTGGCAACTTCTGGTGGCAGCCTTCATGGCTCAGCTGGGAGGGGATCATACCAGTGAGTAGCTAGAACCTTCTTTCCATCCAGCTTTGTGGGGCCAAGCAGGCTTGTTTTGCCAGAAGCCAGTTTTCGAAATGACCAGTTTACCAAAAGTGGCCAATTCTCAGAATGATCAACTTGCCTGGTATTCATTCTCTCCAACATTTTAGTTTCACCAGAGCATCACCTCAACCATTTCCCTGCAGCTGTCAGATTGGCAGCATCAAATGTCAGTGTAGCTGGTGTTTCATATCCAGAAGCTGACCCCTTTTAAAATACATAATCTAATTTATGTGAATGGGTAGGCATTCCCTTAAATATTTTTAATTATTTCCTCTCTCAAGCACTGCTCATGTGTGAAGTGAGCCTCAGGTACACTATTGTCAGTTGGTGGTAAATTGGCCATCTGGTGAACTGACTTTTAGAAGATTAGCTTTCCAGAAGCCAGCCAGGCAGCCTCATCAGATCACAAGCTGAGTGTAGCAAATTAGCACTTTTATATTATAACCCCTCAGCCTCACAGCCTTTTACCAGATACCTGGCTCTCCTGAGTCCAGTCCTAGCTACTCACTAGTGCACCTGTGGGCAGCACACTGTGGTAATAAAATGCCAATGGGTCTCCCAGGCATTTGACAGGGCTTCACGGGGAATTCACCTTCAGGGTGACCCATACAAAGAACATACACACCCTGCACCACTACCCGCCATAAGGCCTTGTGTCCCCCTTGCTCACCGCCGGCCTGTCTTCTCCAGCACCTGTGCTTCTTTCCGCCGCTGCAGCTCGCCCATGTAGCTAAGGATGCGGCTATTGCACACCAGCAGGCTCTTGGTGGCCTCTAGGGCCTGTTCTCGCTGGGAGCAGGCCGCCAGCAGCTTGCAGGCCCCTTCCCTCATCCGGATCTCATGGTCTAGCTTTCTCTGCAACTCTGTGTCCTAGACAGAGTGGGGAAAAGGATAAGAAGGAAATGTCAGTTGGGGACAGGCTGAAGCACCCTCCAGTCCCCAGTGGGCTGTGGCCCAGGAGAAACTGACAAGAAACTTATATTTCAGGCAACTCAACCTCAGCTGCCCAATAACCAGAGAAGCTTTGTCCTCGTGCAGTTGATGGTAGGAGCTTAAATTCCTTCAGCCTCTTTGGAGCACAATTTGGAAAAATCTATGAAAACTAGAAATTCACATATCCTCTGGTCCAGCTATTAAATATCTAGGAGTTTATCCCACAAATACAGTTAAACATGTGAGCAAAGCCATATTCATTGCAACATTGTTTTAAAACACCAACATTAAAAGTTCACTCAAGCATTGGTTAAACAAGTTCCAGCATTTCCATGGAATATGGAATATTGCAAACATTAAAGAGTGAGGTAGACATATATATGCAGATATGAAATAATCTTCAAAATATATGAAATGAGGGGTGCCTGGGTGTTTCATTCAGTTAAGCATCCAAATCTTGATTCCGGCTCAGGTCATGATCTCAGGGTTCTGAGACCGAGCCCCGAATCAGGCTCTGCACTCCCCAAGGAGTCTGCTTAGGATTATCCTTCTCCCTTTGCCCCTCCCCCTGCTCATGCTTACACATGCATGCATACTTACTCTCCCTCAAAAAAAAAAAAAATATATATATAGTGTACAAATCGTAGCATGCTGTAATACTGTTCTACTCTCATATATATATATATATATATATATATATATATATATATATATAGTACTAGGTCGGTCAGAAAATCAAGTGATATATATATATATATATATATATATGGGCCTGGGTGCCAGGAATGGAAAATAGATTTATGCTACTTTTTTAAAAAAATATATATCCTTCTTTACTACTGTACAATTGGAAATTGTGATTTTGTTTTGTTTTATGAGGAAGAAGGGGAGAATCTCAAGCAGGCTCATGCCCAACAGGACTGATGTGGAGCTTAATCTTAATCTGTAAAATGTAAGATTAATCTTACAACCCTGAGAGCATGACCCGAGGCAGAATCAAAAGTCAGACGCTTAACCAACTGAGCCACTCAGGCACCTCTTGTGTTACCTTTTTAAAATATTAAATCTTTTCAGTTAAACACACACAGACACACACACACATTACCAGGCTCTACTTCAGACTTGCAGAGTAAGAATCTCTAAGAGTGGAACGTGGGTGGTTTTTTGAAAATTCCCCAAGTGCTTCTGAGGTGTAGGCAGGGCTGAGAACTACCAACTAAAGAAAATGAACAAGATAGTAAAGACCATCCTAGTTTACTCCAAAGACTCATATGATGGGGGGGACATCTAGCTGGCAAGAGATCTATGGAGAAGGAGCATACCACCTATAGCATTCACCCATGCTTCTCAGAACCCTGTACACACTCCAAATTAGGGGATCCACCACCTACTGGCTCTCTGATCTTGGGAGGTTGAGGACAGTGGCAAGGATTAGGGATGGGAAGGCAGGTAAAGCAGGTCAGGAGTGAGGGGCTAAATAGGCTGTGCATAAGGATGGGGCGGTGGTTTAGGCACTGAGAGAGGCACCAGGATTCTGAGGAACATTTACTCAGAAAGAGCCCTGGAGGTCTTGGCAGACAGTGGAGGGGAAGAGCATCAGTTTGACATAAGACAAACCCGGGTCTGCGTTAGTCCTGTCAGTCTTGAGAAGCTGGAAAGAACTGATTTAAAATGAGCTCAACCTTCCTAAGACTTGGATTCATCATCTATAAAATGCAGTTGGAAATAGCCCCCACATCCCAGGGTTGTGAGGATTCATTCAGTAAGTCAGGAATGTAAAAAGCACCTAGCACAATGCCCAGCACACAGTATACATGAATGGTGAGAATGCTTTTTAAATGATGCCACTTTGGCAGAAAATAGCATTCACCCAACAAACTCTGGAGCACCTCTGTGCTGCTCAAGGGATTTAAAATCCAGCTGGACAGTGAGAGATGCAGACATCAATGGCTGTATCATAAGTGCCATGTCATGGCATAAACACACTCCAGGAGACAGACCCTTTTTGCTTCTGGCTAACATGATGGGGAAGGCTTCAGAAAGAAGGTGGAAGACAAGCTGCATTACAGTATAAGATTAATCTGAGAGGAAGCCAAGTGATGGCACCAAGCTGGAAGAGGGGAGTGAATGTGATCACCCAAAACCCGTCTTCTCCCTCACACCAGCTCTCACATTGTGCACTTGCTTCTGTCCCTGGTGACTCCAGCCTTCAAGTCTCCAAGATCTGAACATCCCATATTCCTGCTTTCAAAAGCTTTTTCCAGCCTCCCTGCACATTCTCCATTCACAATTTATTTCCTGGGCCACCACTGGGCTAGGACTGACTTTCTTTACCCCTCTCCCACAGTTTCCCTTCCTAACCCTTCAAAAATAGGCCATCCAGGTCCTAATGCCCCCCCTCTAGGAAGCCCTCCCAGACTACATAGCTCCCACAGCAAACCGCCCCCCCCCAGCCACTCTATGTCTGTCTACATCAGGATTCCACCTTTGCTAAGCTTTCCTGCTTGCCAACCCCCATCCCGTTCTGCATCCAGTTTCTGCCACAAACACCACAGAGGAGAGAAGGTGGGGACGGTGGGGACAGAAGCGTGCCTAAGCCCCCTCCTGGCTAGTCTCTCTCCGGGCCCCAGCACTCACAGATCTTTCCCTAGCCCTGTCCATTGCTCTTGAGGTACCAACGCTGGCAGCGCGCTGGGTCCGGGAGTTGCAAGTGTCCCCGCCCGTGGCGCTCTGGGCGCTAGTGACATCAGCTCCCAACTGCCGCGAGAGCAGTCGAGGGGCTCCCGGCTCCCGGCTCCCGGGTGCAGGCGGTCCCTCCCTGTGCCTGGCGGGGCTAGGCTCTGGGCTCCCGCTCCAGCTGGGGGCAGCGCAACCATGAGAGGAGACCCAGCCACCCAGCCATGTGCAACATTGCCGCCTGGAGCTCCCACATCGGCCTGGAAAGGGTTTTGGCCTTGGTGCTGCTAGAGCTGCAGAGGCCAGAGGCTCCTTCTGCGCTGCTGTTGCCCTCCAAGGTGACCCTTTGCCCAGGAGCATGGGGGAGGAAGGATAGTATGTAAATTGGAAAAACTGGGGCAGTAGAAAAGTCTGGATTCGGCCTGAATGAGCCTGACACCCCTGCTACCGCCCCTCACCCACTCTGGCCCCAAATCCACTCTCCCAAAGCTTCAAGGAGGAGAGGGCCCTAGAAATCCTGGCTCCCACCCCTTGGGCAGAGCATCTCAGGAATCTTGGTGCTGTTTCTACATCCCTGTGCTTTGTCCCCATCTTGTCACCCCAGGGAAAGCTTCTTGTCCCCCTCTCCCCACTCACACATCCTTTCTCCCCAAGGAAGCAGCGTTTTCACCAGGCTCTCTTGGGAAAGAGCCCAAAGTTGGATTTCAGCAGGACCTGGGTCAAGGCCCAAGGGGCTGAAGGAGGATGAGTCATGGGCAGAAGTCCAGCACACATTAGGCCCTCTGTGGACATCTTTTCCTGTCCCTCCTTCCTATTTTTTTCTGTCCCTGACTTACTGCCCTGCTTCTCATCACCTCTGTTCCCTTCAGAATCTCCACTGGGGCTAAATCTAAATCCTGGTTTGGGAATTTGAATAGCTGTGAGAACTTAGCCTCTGGTGACTATTTGTAAACTGGGGAGTGTCCCACCTCCTTCATAGTATTGTTTGAGAATTAAGTGAGAAAGTCTAATTCCCTACCTTGGCCCAGCATATTTAAAAACAACCTTTCTCTCACTCCTACCTTCCCTTCACTTGCAGTTTAAGTTGCTTCCTCCACAAAGTCTTTGTGGATTTACTCTGCCACAACCCCCTCTCTTGCCAATCTCTGAAATATCAAGAGATCTCTCTTTTGAGTGGGGAGTGGGGGGGGGGGATGGGAATGCTGAGTTTGGTGGAGAAAGAACACAGCACCCTCAGCCTTAGCTGAAGGAGAATGACCAAAGTGAAATCTAAGCCCCGTCCTCTGTCCCAGAACTTAGAAAGACCTCTCATGAAGAAAGACTACATGGGGCAGGGGGAGGGGGCACAAGAGAGCAGAGAGGATGCAAAATTAAAAATTTTTTTTAAAGAATTTATTTATTTATTCATGAGAGACACACACACAGAGAGGCAGAGACATAGGCAGAGGGAGAAGCAGGCTCCATGAAGGGAGCCTGATGCAGGACTCTATTCCAGGACCCCAAAGGCAGACATTCAACCCAACTGCCAAGCGTCTGCCTTTGGCTCAGGGCATGATCCCAGGGTCATGGGATCGAGTCCCGCATTGGGCTCCCTGCATGGAGACTGCTCCTCCCTCTGCCTATGTCTCTGTCTCTGCCTCTCTGTGTGTCTCTCATGAATAAATAAATAAAATATTTACAAAACAAAAAAATAAATACCTAGCTCTGTTCAATAATATCTCCTGCAATGAGAAAAATGTTATGTAGCAATCTTGAAATGTGACTAGAGCAACCAAGGAAATGTTTATTTCATTTTAATTAACTAAATTATACATTTAAGTAGCCACATGTAACTGGTAACATGGACAGTGCAAAGGAGTTAGGTTTTATCCCGTGTGCAAATAGAGGACAATAGCTAGTATCAAGAGTCCCAACAGGCTGATTGAGCACCTTTCTGGATATTAGAAAAAGGTAACCCCCTCCAGGTAAATTTATTATTTATTTATTTATTTATTTATTTATTTATTTATTTATTTATTATATTTTTAAATTATTTATGATAGTCACAGAGAGAGAGAGGCAGAGACACAGGCAGAGGGAGAAGCAGGCTCCATGTACCGGGAGCCCGACGTGGGATTCAATCCCGGGTCTCTAGGATCGCGCCCTGGGCCAAAGGCAGGCGCTAAACCGCTGCACCACCCAGGGATCCCCCTCCAGGTAAATTTAGATAAAGGTGTCTCCTCCTGATGGAGTCCAAAACCAGGCTGGGACTCCTGCCTCTGCCTGGCACCCCTGTGAAGGAAACAGCCCTCACAATTTGTGCCAAAGATGTGCTGAGAAAGATTGTGAGACCACCTCTGGGCTTTCTGGTCAGGGGGGCCCTGATTGATGAGCAGTGTCTGCTATGGTGCAGGGAGTGGGGGCCAGCACTAAGAGGAGCAACACCTGTAATTAACTGCCATTCCTGTTCTAGACTCTTTACAGTCCTGCCTCTGACCTTCCTCAGCAGCAAACTCTTGCCTTGTCCAGGTGGTCACTTCCATAGCTTCCTTCACCTCCCCCATCTCAGTAAATGGCCACAATACCCAGCTGCTTAACCATGCACCTGGGAATCATCCCAGAGCTCCCTCTTTGCCAGGAGGCAAATCCATCTGTGTCCAGTCCACTCATCCAATCCATTACCAAGCCAGGCCAGATCTCCCACCATCATTTGAAACCCACCCTTCTCTGTTTCCACCAAGAGCACTTTCACCCACATCACCAGGCTCAGTCCCCTAAGGCTGTAACAACTTCCCATCTGGTGGTCTTCTGGCATTTCTCAGGTCAACTCTCCTACCCCCGCCCCACCCCTGCCTAGCCTATTCCCCACAAAAGCCAGTATGTTAAAACACTAGAGGAGTCAGGCCCCTGCTTAAAAGCCTTGCATGGGCCAACATCACACCTACAGTAAAAGGCCTTTGTGGGGCCTTAATCTGAACTCTGCTCATGATCTCTGCCCCAACGCCTATGCTCCAGCCACACTGGCACTGGGACACATCTTCCCTCAAGAGTCTCTGCCCTTGCTGTGCCCTCCAGCTGGAAAGCCCTTCCTCCAGTCTTCACATATCTTCATATCTTTCTGGTCTCAGCTAATGATCTCATCCCAGTGACCTTCTTTGACCTCCACGCTGAATCCTGCCTTCCTGACCCAGTGCATATTAGATACCTGTTCTTATCATATTTCCCTATGAGATGATTTCTGTGTTTTTGTGTTTATGGTGACCCCCAGTTGAACGGGCCTTTCCTGTCTGGTTCACTGAGGTATCCCATGGTCTGGAAAGGAGCCTGGCATATGGAGGCTGTCCAGTGAAAGTGTTTAAGAGTAAATAGATGAGGAGCACCCAGGTGGCTCAGTAGTTGAGCATCTGCCTTTGGCTCAGGGCGTGATCCCGGGATTGAGTTCTGCATCAGGCTCCCCACGGGGACCCTACTTCTCCCTCTGCCTATGTCTCTGCCTCTCTGTGTCTCCCATGAGTAAATAAATAAAATCTTAAAATAAATAAATAAATGGATGAATAAACAGCTCCCTGCCATCTCCAGGACCATCAGATCCTTCCATCCTGTCACAGAGTCCCATTCCCCTTTTCTAGCAAAGCCACATCCTTCCTGCAAACCTCTCTTACAGTGAAGTCCTCTCTTCCCACACCTAAAAGTACCTCTTGGGCCCAAAACACACATCCACACCCAGCCACAGAGCTTTCAGAAATAGGTGTAAAGACCCTTTTGACAACACAATGCTCTGATTGGCAGAATTGAGCGTAGATCCACACAGGGCATTTAGCGCAAAGCATACTGAACCACCTGTCCCTCTACTGGTGTGGAGCAGCCCCCTCCCTCCCCCTCCTCAGCTGAGGCAGGGATGCACAGGGCATGAACTGAGGCTGGGTTGCATGCAGAGGAGGTACACTCTGGGGTTGGGGGCGTTACCTCCAGGCTGAGTGCCATCTGCCGAATGTAGAGCATATTCAGGTCCTCCAGGATGTGCAATCTGTCCTGCATCTTTGTGCCCCCAGAGCCCCTTCCCTTGTGGACCCCTCCAGAAGGGGGGGTGCTGGACAGGCACCTCGCTGCTCCACAGTTCCTCCTCCCGCTGCTCCCCTGGTCTTGACAGAGGTGGGCAGAGGACAGAGGTGCCCCTGTCCCTCTGCACTCTTGTTACACCCCTCTGGCTGCTGTGACAAACCTTCCTTGCCTACCACTGTTCCGGGGCCCTGGTGGGAGCCGGGCATGGGAGGAAAGGAAAGCGAGGTGAGAAGGAGCAGGGTCCCAGGAAGGGAGGCCAGCTGCAGAGGGGGCTCTGGGCACAGAGTGTCCAGTCTTGCTTTGGTGGCAGCTGTTCTCCCAGCTGTGGAAGAAAAAGGCCCTTTCATTCCGACTCTGGCCCCTCCCCAGCCCCCGCCCACACCCCTGGCCTGGAGGACAGAGAATCTGTGTGCCGGTAGGGCGTGAGGGGCAGGCACAGCTGGAAGGGGGCAGGGAGGGGCCGCCTCTTGCAGGTTTTACAGAGTTGTGGGGTTTGGCAGGAGGTCGGCGCTTTCGGAGGGGTTCTCACTCTCAGAAAGAGGGGTGTAGGTGGGGACCAGGGGGGAGAGTGAGCCCAGGGAGCGGGACAAAGGGGTAAATTCAGCCCAACCCCCAGGGCCACCTCTTACAACTTGGGGCCCGTATCCAGCCCGCCCCACCCTGGGTTCACAATTACC